CTGGAGGATAAGGCGAACAACTTTGTCTCATACCAGAACACAAAATTGTTTTTAAATTAAACAAAATTAGAAAGTAATGTATGCAAACATACAGTAGGTAGCGACAAAATATTTCTATGATTTTATTGTCTTATGGAGTTTTGTTTATTAATTTATCCCCTGGCTCTTTTGTAGCACCTTTTTCCTTATTTACCTAGAAATGTGACTGGTAAACACTTAATCTACCAAAACATGATTGTAAAGATGATAATCTCATAATCCGGTGATACAAAGCCTTTGTTTTTGGACTGATAGCTGGAGAGCTGTCAGTTCACCTCCTGGGCACTGCCGAGGTGCCCTTGAGCAAAGCACCAAACCCCCCCCAACTGCTAGGAGTGTATGAAGTGTACCTTCCTTTTCTTTGCAAGTCCCAAATCAAAACTAAGTCCTACTTTGTTGCCGAGTCCTAAACAAGTCAATTTGTCTGTCAGCTCGTCTGCTGTACCAAACACACATTTTTTGTTGTTGTTTTTAAGTGCTTCAAGTCTTTTTTGATTTTGTCAAATCGAGTCTAAAGTCGAGTCAAAAGTCTGAAGTCATCCAACCGGTGACTCGAGTCCCCGGTGACCTAAGTCTGAATCAGTCATAGAAGCTTTGACTGTGCAAAACTGAAACATCCTCTGGTGCACAATCAGGAAGTGATGTGTTTTGCTTTTCCTGACGCAGCAGCGGACCATGTGGCATAAACAGAGGAAGAAGCTCCAACAGCTACGAAGAGCACTAAAGTGGTATTTGGGAAGTGCACCTCAAAAACATTAAAAATTGGGTGATTTTGTCTTGACTGTGAAGCGTTTGGAGTATGTGTACATATTGTTGAATCCTAAAGAGATCAGCGCCCTGATTTCTCTCATTACTGCCTCCACATTAGCTCTAAAATAGTCACAGGCGTGTAGGTGTTGCTGCAATGACTCTAATCTATAAAATGTGATATGACAGTTCCTTTTATGACTAAGCTCTGCCTCACACCGTTCCCTAACAGGATTATGCAGCAAACAGGATCGACATCCTATTCATGAATTCAGATTTTTTTCCGAACACCCGATACAAAGGGAAACATGGGAAATATGTGCAGTGCTCAGGAGGCTGTGTCCTTCTCCCTCTTCATACTCGGATGGAGCACTTCCTCTCCTTTCCCGTGCGAGTGGTTGGCCTCACGGCTGTGATTCATAGCATCTGGTCACAGGGGCCGCTGACGTGGAGTGTACAAGGGGGGTGACGCTCTGGTCTCTTCATCCTCCTCCCTTCTCCCCATCCAGTTTCACAGAAACATTCTAGCCGATTCCCCCCCCCCCCCCATGTGCAACCATTCAAGCCCCCAGGACTCAGACAACACACGGTTGGCAGAGCTGTGAGAACTTACTCCATCGCACTGCAGGAGCTGACAGGAGCTTTAGCTTTAGTTCAGGTTTGGGCCCTCTGATGCTAACAGAGACTGTATCAAAAAAACTGTGTTGATACTGGAATCTGGATTTAACAATCTAAAGTGTAACAATTAGTCACGTAGACGATCAAGAGACAGATTCATCTGCAACTATTTTGACGATTAGTCGATTGGCCGCTCACCCATCTTTAGTTTTTCTCTTTTCACTCTAAGCTAGACACGCTAATGTTTGACTGTTTAATCCATTCTTTACATTTTTGCTGTTGTATTTTTTGGTTTTAGAAATGCTATAACAGACACCAACCATTTATTTTTTTCACTCTTGCTACAGCATCAGTTTTGGTTGCTAAACTATGAGTGAACCCCTCCTGCTGTTAGCTTGTTAGCTAACGGTCAAGTGAACATCCATCGAAGCACAAATGACAAACATTCTCTGGTTCTAGCTTCTCAAATGTGAGGGTTCGTTGCTTTCTTAATTCAATATCTTTGGGGTTTTGGACTGCTGGTCAGACAAAAATAAGCAAGTATAAGACAATTGTGAAAATAATTCTTAGCTGCAGCTCTACATGTCCGTAACTCAACTGTATTTACTCTCCGAGGTTACTTCTTCCCGGAGTTCAACTGTGGAGGATGACTGATGATAGCGGCAAATTAAAAGGCGTTGGAAGGAAGGTTTCTAGGCCAGAATCCACATTTCCAGCCTGGCTGTGTGATGTTGAGCGTGTGCCAAGAACATAACGTCAGCACGACTGGGAAGCTCACGGGTCCAAAGGGAGGCCACGTCTCATGATCACTTCCACAGAGGAGCATTCAACTCCACACTGAGACTCTGACTGCAAGGCTGCTGGAAGAGCGGGCACGGCGGCAACTGCAGAGAATTTAACAACTGTACAATTCAAACTGCTTTACAGACGAGTTGCAGGGTATTTTCCATTTCGCAAAAAGCCGGTGCCACTCCTATTGTGGGCCGTAAACAAAGACTCTTTGAACATGTCGTGTCTTGGAGAGTCTTGGTTTGGCTCCAGCGCTTGCCGAGTTAGTAAGAAAGGCCGCCGCAAGCTGCGTTTCCTCTCAGAAAAAAAACGTCTATTCTGCTTCTATGACATCGAGACTCTGAAACACCAGCAGACGGGAACACAGGCTCTGTTTGAGTGTCGTAATGCTGCTGGCTGACTGGTTTCATGGCGTGTGGGGGGATGACAGGAGATATATGAGGTCAGGAGAGATGAATGCATGCATCGATGTGTTAGGGATTTGGATGGTCGACGTGCATCAAAGGGCTAAACCAAACGTCTGCCAACCTCAGACCTGAATAAATCACTTTGAAATGGGCTTATGATCCCCCTCTCACAGCTCTGCATGCACACTATAGGCCGTAAAAAGCAAACAAGCCCAGGTTGGCTTTTCTTTCTTTCTATCAAAGAATGAGACTTACGGCTCTCAGAAAGGCGTCAGAGAAAAAGAATGTTTCTGTTTACCTAATGCCACTGCCTTTTTCGGCGTCCAGCATTCCGGATAACGTCACATGTTGAACAGCTCTGCTGCATGCTGCGGCTCTGACTGCAACCAAAACACGCTTTGTTTTCCACCTCAGATCACTTTTCCATGGGCGAACCTGCTCAAGAACAATACGAGCTCTTTGAGTATTTCAATAAACGCACTCTGTTTCCAGCAGAAATCACCCCTCTGAAGAAGAATTAATACAAAAGTTACACGATCGAGCGCCTAAAAACAGCTTCAAAGTTGACAAGCATGCCTCAAACACACACACACAGGATGTTATTTCCCTTCTTTTGACCACTGAACAAGCAGCCTCCAGTTCAATGTATACTCAAAGTCAACAAACAAAGCATCACAATTCTACGACTGTAAACCATTTTAACGTCCCAATATCAATGCAGCAATAGGTGTATTTTTTTTAACACGAGTGGATAAAAAACAGAAAGAAAAAGAGAAAAACCTTGAAATAGCATCTTTGTGCCTTTGCTCAGGATCACTTTAGACTAATTATGACTCTTTGATTGTGAACTCCAAGACGTTTCTTCTCAGAAGAGACCAGAATCAGGGCTGTAACCAAAAGGAGACCTGTGCTTGTTGATAGGTGTCTAATAGAGCTAGAAACGATAAATTAACCAGATTACTGCATATATATATATCTGTATCGAGGTGTGTCGGCCGATAATTAACAAGAAATTGCACCACAGAAAATTCCAACCAGTGTCACCGTTACAAAGTTTGACTTCCAGAGAGCCAGCGGTCTTGGTCGAAGTATTAAAAAAAAAAAATCCAAGGGATCCATATCAAGATTGGTTGTTTATGTTATGTGTTTATGTAAGAAAAAAACAGTTACGATAACCCATATATCGTTATCGAACTCGCAAATATGAATCAGTGTTGGTCCCACAATTTCCAGTATCTGTTGCTATTCTTCGTCTTGCAACAGCCGATGCACATGCAGCAGCCTATAGACACCCACACATGCAGGGAGCCAGCACCATGACAGCCTGCCTTTGCGGTGATGAAAAGCTGCAGCAAACGTTTCTCCCTCCATCCAATGCTCTCCACATCCAGTGGAAATAGAGGGAGGGGGGGGAGGGCTACCAATGAACAGAAAGTCACCTTCTGCCAGCACACAGGTCAAGGGGAGATGTGTGAAGGATACAAGACACCACAAATGTATATAAGCCAATATAAACGTATATATATGTATATATATATATATATATATATATATATATATTAATACTGGAGTACTAGCCTAATTATATTGTGCTTATATCCTTCTTTTCCAGGCTTTTGGAATAATATGTCAGGGTTTTGCTGGTCTATTTCATGTAATATTAACATAATTAGATCATTATAGCATGTACAGTGTAAGAGGAAATGGGACTCACTAATATCAGCTTATAATTATGAGGATTTCACTGAAATAAAATCTTCACAGGGCTACTGGATCAGCCACAAAGATTATGGTCAATATGAGGAACCATCAGTTGGAGATGCAGACGTTAACATCAGCCGCTATTTGCGCTGCTGATGTGCTCTTGAGCAAGACACTGACCGAGATTAAAGAGGAGTTTTCCCTGCATGGAATCTGTTTAGTATCTCACTAATACTGTGTGCTAAGAGTGATTGTTTTTTTTTTTTGCAGTGTCTTCAGCTGCGCCAGCTTGCCTCATTGTATATATGTGTGGGCCATTTTTCACCCCTGTGCACCACTGACGTGTTTGGTAATGGAGACCACAGCTCAGTGCAGCATTTCCAGGATCTCTTGCTGGTTAGGACCCCCCTGATAGAGAGAGGTGCAGACAGCCCGCTGTTTGAGTGTGGGGGGAAATTACAGCAGGACGGACAAACATCCCATCTTTTAAGATTTGAAGTGGGAGGAATCGGATGTGTTGTAGTGCTGCAGCTGTTGAATCTTGAGTGTTCAGTGCCCAGAAGGACTGGAAAATACCGACACACTTTAATTATGATTGGTAGGATAAAAAGATTAAGGGGGAAAAAACACATAATAATCACAACCACCACCCTCTTTAATTCTACAGCGACGTTATTGGCCGTAACCTATTATACTCACATTTGTCTGTTAGCGTCAGCTTCTCTCCGAAATGATGTCCAAGCTCTTTATAATCCATTGTTTCCATTCAGGCGGACCGATTCCCTTTCGCTGTCATTCCTCAGAGTCGCAGAAGTACATGAGATGAAACTCCCGGTACAGATCGCCCCAAACACGCCCTTTGTAAATCCAACCGGAATAGAAAGAAAAAGTGACCAAAACAATAATGTGGAAATAAAAACAGGATCCAACTAAAAAAAAGAAACGACTGGGAATGTCAGAAATGCTGAATTGTAATAAACTGATATCAGTGTCTTGTTCAAATTAGAGACTCGGTCCAATCCAGTGAGTCGTTAGTGGAAAATTTACAGTGTGAGAATAAAAAGCTTCAGCGAGTCCTGTGAGGACCAGAGTCAAGTTGCAAAGACTGACAAAAACTACTTCCGGTCAGATTTTTTAGAATAAAATGATGCCATCGTATTTCAAGTTGCTGCGCGCTGCTGGTGCGATGGGACGACCAGCTCGTTTTCAGTTCTTATCAATATGCTATTTACCGGAAACCCCAGAAATATAGCCGCTTGCCCCCAGAGGCATATCCGTTCACATGGGTTCGATGGGTTCTGAGATTTACTTTTTCAATTATTTCCAAAGTTAAGAATTAGGTAGCTGTAAACTTATTTTCAAATATATCTTTCTGATTTTCACATACAGTAAGTAGCAAACCATGACCATTCAATATATACAAAAAAACGAATTAAACACAAACAATGGATTTCAACAGGAGGCTGAAATGAATACTCTTAGAAGACAGATTGGAAGAATACTCAATCAGATTTCCAAAGTATGGTCATTATATTCAAAAGGTCTGATAACTATTTGTTGCAACATGATATAGCCTAGGTGTATATATCAAACACAAATGCGTCTCTTCAATGTATTGTACAGGATTTAGCTGAAAGCCAAATTTGATTTGCAGTCCTTTGGTAGGTCACCATTAGAAAATACAAACAATGATTTAGGCATACAAGACAAAACAGACAGGACAAATACTACGAAAGTATTAGTAACAATTTTGTATTATATATCCATACAGCTGTTATCCCAGAATTTTCCTCACTGCAAAGTGGAACAGCCCCAATGTAATTACATTGAAAAGCGTACTACTACTATGGTTGGAATTAATAATTCATTAACACATATCGATTTTGAACAATTACTTAAAATGTTCCAGGTACCGCAAAAACAACCGTGTTTTATTCTGAAAGCAACATTGCTCAATTTCCGGTATATGTCTCGTTCTCCCTCATGATATTTTGATGCCGCCGATCGCAACGAAAAACCGCATGCTGGACAACTAGACTGTACCAACTTTTTCGTAAGGGACAAAACTCATTTACCAAAACACCATCACAAATAAACCATCGAAGACCAATTAAAAACGCAAAACAATTCATTTAATTTGCCGTTAGAACTCTCTCATCGGGTTTGGCTGCAGTAACAGGACAAAAAGTGTCCCCTTGGACACCACGAATGGTTTGATCCATCAGATGATTTTCAGCAGCTGAAAACAGCCCTGCTGCCTGGAACGAGGTGAATTGACATAACACCGTATAACACGGACTGTATGTGTGATTAAAGTAATTAATTAACGGGTTGTAACAGTCAATGGTATTATTTACGCTACGGACAAGATATATATTAGGAAAAATGCTTATATTATTGCTTTGCAATTGGCCTTGACCAGCACATGAAAACTAAAACCTCACTGGAATACTAACAAAGAATGACACAAAGTAACATCCAAATGTCTCTGTAAAACCTTCCAATGCATGGACATACAATCCTATATACACTGCAGAAAAGAAAGCATATTTGCCAAAATAACAGTCAATTTCATCTTCATACGTGACTTCTACAGAGTTGAGGAGGAGCGTCATTCATTTTCAAAAAGAGGCATTTTATAAATATTCTTACCAGAATCACACCCACTTTGCTTTTTTTTTGGTCATTTGAATCAAGAAATTCAGATTAAATATAGATGAGGTCATCCGTGTACATTCTGGGTTTTTTTCTTCTTGAATCAGCAGGACATAAAGGATGGCCCTGAGTACCAACATACGTCAAAGAATAAAATGTTTTCCCCAACAGCTAATTTTGAGACTCCTTAGAGCATAGATACAACATGATGTTAGAGCTCTGCTTTATGCTAAAAGGCCAATGTATGTGGGTTTTACCAGAGAGATAACATATGCATGACCCACTTAGCTTGGTGAAGACACTAGGACTTCATAGACCTCCGGACTCCTTGCTTATTGCGGCTGACGCTAGAGACGTCTTTCTTTTTCCTCATAGTTCAGCCTACATTCCAGTATTGCCTGTTAAAAACTCTTTCACATGACCAAAAACTATCAATCCGAAACATTTTTTAGCTGACTTATAGCTTCTTTTGTTTTGAAGTATTCCTATAAACATGGCAGGGATGCTAAAGATAGCCTGTGATGTGCTGAAAACACTGCTAATCAATTCACTGGCGACACATGAGAGGGGAAGTGAAGCAGCTACATCAGGGCTAATGGAATCTGAACTGCCTGTGAAGGACCAGACGGCTCTGTTGTTGAGTCTGAGTCTGTGGTAAAAAAGAAAAAAGATCTGTTGATTCATTACTGGGATTTGCAACTGCAGGAAATGCAATACAGCGGCAGAGGAAAGGCAGGAAGTGCTCAATAAACTTACATATCTTGTTCATCTGCATAAGAATATGTCTCCTTCTGAACGCACACACACACACATTGTACATAGACACACTGGACCAATAGACCACCAGAAACATTCTACAGTATTTGTTGCTAAATTTCCACATCTGACAGAAAGATCTGACAGCAGACGGGTTGAGAGGCACTTGATGACACCGGTCACACTGTAAACTTGTGTTGTTTATCTACTACTGTAAGTCACGTGTTAGATGGGAGAGGGGATGAGAGGTTGTCATATTCTATAACCTCAAAATAAATAAATTACCTAATTCATCCGGGCAAATCTTGTTCGTTGAAGGGATTCGTTGTTGCACTGGTGACTGTAGTCAGACAAAGATTGCAGTGAAACGATGAACATACTACAGCCAATCCTTTAAGTTCCCCTCAGGTCTCATCCTCCCTCCATTGCAGCAGTATGAATCGGTTGTTGATGTATAGCCGGTAGAATGTTACTCTAGCGTGCTAGCATGCAAACATTTGCTAATTAGCTCTAAACATGACGTACAGCTGAGGCTGATGGGAATGTGATGGGAATTAGTTTAGCAGGTATTTTATTATAAACAAAAGTCAGCTGGACTAAAAACATTTTTGACCTTATGATGGTGATTGATCAAATATTCAGGTTTCACCAACGTCATTATTATTAATTGTCTCAGCACCTAGAATATCTGTACCATCGTAATACATCCAGTAATTGTCGAAACATGTCAATAAAAGCCAAAAATTGTCAATCTGTTGATGGCACTAGACTAAAAGTCAGGGGGTCAGCAAAGTCACGAAGAGTACTCCTCTGGGGACCATGAATGCCTGCGCAAATTTTCATGGCAATCTATCCGTAAGTCACTGAGTTCATTTGGTCCAAATTTACATCCCCTTCGCCACAAGCATGGCTTCAAAATTAAATTGTGATGGACAAACATGACAGGAAAATCCTCAAGCGCTATACGTGGTTTTTCTCATACTTCTGATTCTCAAAGATTCCATAAATACACCGTTTCATGCAAGGCTCATAAAATGATGGCAGAACAAATTGTGCCTGCAATCCACTGATGTGCTGCCAAGCAACACATGGCTGATGCAGGCAGCGTCACTTTAGTCAAATTAGTTTAATCGGATCTCTCAGACTATTATTGGTATCATTTAGAGCCAAATCTAAGCTAATATACCAGATGAGAGCACTTAAATGCACGAAGAAAGTATGATTTTTAATCAGCGAAGATCCATGAGGAACTGATTCAATCCGCATGTATCCTTCAACTTTTCCTACAACAAAGTGCTTTCTCAATGAGACTCTCTGTACACTCCTCTGAGGGAGTACATGTCCACACTCGCCCGCACCTGATTGAAACATAGGGAGGTTCAGAGCGCCTCCCATAAACCCACAGAGGCATGTAGTTAATTGCCTCTCCTACACACTACCACAAAGGCAACCCACAAGCCTGAAAAGCCTGCAGTTACACTTAAAACATTCGTCTGGATCCTCCCTGCGTGTTTGACCAGGCGGGGAGAAGACATTTCTGTCTAAAATGTGCCTCATTGTAAAAACCACCACGTTCACAATGGTTTGGTTTTACAGGGTGAGCAGACATATTTGGAGAGCACACTGCTGAAGTCAGAGTCTGAATATAACTCCAGCTGCCACAGTGTGGGAGTCAAGCAAGTCTGCAGTTGCTGCGGTTATCGAGTGCAGAGAGGGAGAAAAATGTCCAACTGATTTCCTCGCGAGCAGATGACACTGCGGTTTGAACTGGTTAGCATCCTCTGTCTTTGCGGATGGAACAAAAAAAAAAGGCTTGAGGTATAAATAAACAACTCTTTGGCACCATGTTGTTTAAATCTGTAATTTCCAGAGAGCAGATACCTCTCCCTGAGATTCATTTCCATGTCAACAGCTGCGTCTGATGAACACTAAAATGCCACGCCAATATTTATACATTTTCAGAGCTCTGGAAAGCTTTTTTGCTTTGCGGCAGAGAGTTGAGATGAGATACCACTTGAAGCTACAGCTAGCAGTTGGTTAGCTTAGCATAAATACTGGAAACAGCTAGCCTGGCTCAGTCTACAAATAACAAAAAAACACATAATATCACCACTTGAAATTCACTAATTAAAAAGTTACACCTTGTTTGTTTATTACGTGGTAAAACTGAAGTTTAGCCAAACTTCTAGCCAAAGGGGAAAAAACATACATTTGCCTCTGGTGGCGAAGCAATTTGCATCTTTACGTTAAACTGCATTTGGGCATGTGTGACCTGCCTTACTTATTACAATTTGCGGTTGCGGTTGCCAAGTTATTGTGCCTGGTCAAGAAACAACCTTTTACAAAAAAAAAAAAATTTTAACACTCTGTTTTTTGTACAGATTAAACAAGAAAGGTATTAGATGTTAGTGACCTGGTGGCTGGTAGGCTTATTTATATTACTATATGTATTACTGTTTACTGTTTACTGTATTACAGTCTTTAAGCCAAGCTTAGCAAACCGGCTGCTGTTCAAACCTGCAATAATAGACATTTTTTGGCCATTTGGGGAAAGTGGAAACAAGTTGTGAATGCAACATCGACATATCATCCTCTTTTAAGTTGATATGGCAAACTTGTTTGCAAAAAGTTGCACATTATTTACACATCCAGCAGTTACAGAGTAATATTATTATTCACATTGTGTTTGTGTACACCTGATGAATGTAACTCTTTTAGCTCGATTTTTCTTTTGTCTCCACCGTATCCTGAGGGAAATATCTGTTTCTTGAGCTGCTAAATACTACAATATTCTCACCAGCTCTCTAACTGTGTCTGTCTGCTGTTTACTGCTGAGCAGGTAGTGTGCAGTAGGAATTTTAAAGCCTTTTTCTATGAAAATGACACCAACAATATAACATCCGATAAAGGCTGATGACCGATGTGTCCATTTGTTCTTCGGGGGTTAAACACCACCCTGCTGCCTCAGGCCCGGTCAGTCACATTGCTCACATACAGTCGCACTCCACCCCTCTGTCTGCCCTCTAGCAGTTGGCACAGTGGTGTCATCTCAAGCTCTCAGCTGTTACCATGGCGCACCACTGATCGGACCAGCAGCTGTCGGTTACCCAGCAACTCCTACTTCTATGTCATCTACAGATAAGAGCATCAGGATGAGGATAAAACATACGGCCTTTCAAAAGATTTGCCTTCCCTTATATCACCACTCTGGAGAAATCAAGTTTATGGTTTACTTTTTAATACAGATAGTTCATGTGTGTGAGAGTTGTACATATCTGCAGTGCAGGTTTCCCTGAAAGCTTTATACGGGAAGCCAGACTCTGGAGTCGTTGTAGAAGAAGGACTGCTTCTGTGGAATCTGTGGATCATAGAAACCTGGACAAAAAGAGAGAAAGCATAACTTAATGCTGTCATACTTGCAATCATATCAAACAACTAAAGCTACACACAGCCAGAGAACGTGATGTCAGGCAAATGGGCAACCTGAGCGACTCCCACGGTTGTGCATGATTTCAAATTTTGCCTGGAACTTTAAAATCAAGTTGACCTTTATATAATAGGACAGCGACTAGTTGCAGGGGAGTTGCTCTTCTCTTTTGCTCCAGGCGATAAGAGACAGAGATGAATGTTCAATGAGCAAGAGCTCTGGTCTCTTGCTAAAATCCCCTGAAGCCCATGAGGGGCATTCCTTCTTTAAATGTGTCACAGCTTGAAGTAGGTGGTGAAATTACCCATTCAGCTCCAGGCCAAAAAGAACGCATTTTTTGTGCCGCTTGTGTCAATCTCCTTCTCTATGTTACGTCTTGGCTTAGAAAAAAGTATGTATTTTTTGGGGGGGGGGATAACCATGGCTATTTAAAAAAAAACTATGTGAATAAAACAGTAATCCAATTTATCAGTGACATCATCTGTGAGGTTGTGGACTTAGTAGCACATCATTATAACCGATAAAGTGCGACAACAAAACCTAACTCCAGTCAACCCTCACTAAACTTTCTGAGTGTATGTGTCGAGCGGCATAACCCAGAATGTAAACTATTTACAAAAGCATCACAATAAATAAACAAAGGCAAACATTGGCGTTTTTTCCAGAATCTCCCCTGACTTTATAAAGTTTACCATACTTAATAAGTACATGTGTCTTAACCAACAAATAACAGTAAAGTCTACATTTTAGCACGATAGATCATGTTGCTCATAAGGAACACGACTATTGAATAAAAAGTGAGACTGATAGGGTTAAAGGACAAATCCCAGGCAGCTTCGAGGAGTTACTTTATGGTAAAATGTTGTCATTCAAATTTTTTCTGCTCCTACTTTTCCTCACCCTGCCTCATTTACATATACTTAAGTCAGCAGTTTCCTACATTTCCCACTAAATTTCAACAGCTCTCAGAGTAGGGATGCAAATGTAATGCAAATTTGCAGCTGTACAAATTAGCATGTGACAAGGAGCAAATTAGTGCATGAAAATGATGGCATTTCATACCACAACCACCTCACTGCAGAATCTCAGCTTATGTAGCACATATAATTGTGTATGAAATGTATGTAATGATTAATCTATAAAGAAACCTTTTCTTTGGATAGATACCACAAGAATATACTTAAATGCCAATAGCCATTCATTTCTTGTAAAATACATAGAGTTTTATGTCGTGGACAGACAATACCTGGAGCTGGCATCATGGCGGCCCGTGAGTTTTGTGGTATCCTTTCAGATCTGGATGCAAATGCAGCTGTGGGCATGGGATGCTTAGACAGGCCATTAGAATCCCTGATGTCATAGTGCCCAGGGCCTGGCCAGGGAGGGTCCTTGGGCACAATCTTAGCAGGTGTTGACATTGCCAAATAGAATCCCCTCCTACAAACACAGTTCACAGGATTTAGACTTTTAGACAATTGAAAAGGAATACCTGGGGGGAAAACATAACCAAAGCGATACATATTATGCGTTTACTTACGGCAGGACGGCCCTCTTCACCGGTGCAGGGGTCTGATGGGGACTGTAGGCTCCTGGGCCTGGTACGCGGTGGTCAATCAGAGGAGGGAATCTCGGAGTTTTTGATTTGAAGGGGGACGAGACTGCCTTGGAGCCGTTCTGGATAAAGTGGCCGCTCACCTCATAGTGGCCTTTAACATATTTAGGATGCAAGATTAAGATACATAAAATTCATACATTAAAATTACATTATACTTGACTTTTCATAGAGAACTTAGAGGTAATTACATGGCGATGGCACATTTTTGTTTGGGTAAAAAGTGTCACGTCCAGTTTTTGACAGGAAAGTTGATGTACCAACCACTGAGGAAAAGCTCTTTCTTCTATCACAACTGACCTGTCAATAAAAAAAAGGCTGCACATTAACTACAGGATGCACAGCACAGTATTTAAAATCTACTTGCACAATTCACATACATACATCATATTGATTCGGGGCTGGAGTTTCGTGCTTCGGACCATCCAGCTGCACAGCCACAGGCAACCTGAACACCCTGGAGAGTCCAATGCTGAAGTTATTCTTGTTTATGAAGGTGCTCTGCAGGTTGTATGCATTTGGTCCTGGGAGGTCTCTTCGCGGGTCACTGGAAGCCCTGGCAGTCTATTGGAAAGGATGATATGACAAATAATTCTCCATTTTGCAATAGCATATTTGGTGTATTGACAGGCAATCAGCTGAATCTAAACTTTTGGGGGTTTTAGTAGTCATGGGATACATTTTAGACTGTCATGTGGGAAATAGGATTTATAGAAATTTACGTTAAATTAAGTTAAAATATGAATAACATATTTTGTAAAATATGAAGGTTTCAAATAAGTGTGACATTGTCATTGACTTGACCTCCGTATCTTTATAATCCTAGCTATGGCCCAGCTGAGCATGCACCTGAAATCTGTGTGCATGACTTGAGGAGCCTGACCTTGGATGCAACAAAACCTGTGGTGCCTTTCTTTGAGAAGGAAGGACTTTCGACTTCAGGGCTGGACATTACTCCATAGCTGCCTGGTCCTGGATTTTCACTCTGAAACAAACACACATCATCGTGTTTATATTGCGTTGTTTGTTGGCTAATACTTTATACTGATGTTGGGTGAGTCCCTACCAGACAGACTTGTGAAGGGAATCTCCTAGTTTGAGATGAAAACCCCTTCTTTTCTTCATTTGATATCACCACACATTGGTATTTTGTTGGAATTGAGGGTGAAACGGTGGCCGGAATCACATCTGCATTTATATCAAAAAAAGAATTATGATATAGTATTCCTTAGCGAAAAAATGAAATAAAGTTTTCACTTAGACTCACGTTTATTAACGTTGAATCCTCGGTTCTTGGCCATGCTTCAGTTGATTATCACGTAGAAAGTCAGTAAATCTGTTCTTATTTAAGTTATGTAAAAACTCACATTTATCGTTGTTATGGAAACATAAAAACAGAGCGTGTTTCCCGCTGACACGGTCCTTTATCGCCATCTGTCGGTCATACGGTCGTCCAACAGGCGCTTTATACCAACCCGCCTCTGTTTTGTTTCTTCAGTTAGCTCTATCCATCATGGCGATGCATGCGAAGGCGACTCCACCACAGATCCCGGACACCCGCCGGGAGCTCGCAGAGCTGGTCAAGAGGAAACAAGAACTCGCTGTGAGTCCACGTTACCGCTATTCCCTCAAAGATGAATGCTGCATTAAATGTGTTGTTTTACCATGTAGAATTACAGGTACCTCTTAACTTTAATCTCAGCGGTTGCTAGCTAAGGCCTTGCTAACTGCTAAGCTAATGCCGTTAGCTATCTCTGGGCCGTTCATTAGAGTAATGCTAGTAGCTCTTGCTAACTTGGCTAGCTAGCTAACGTTACCGTTAAGCCAATACTGTAGGGAGCGTAGCGTTACTAACTGTTGTCCACCCATCACACGTGGACTATTGTCGGAATATTTAGTTACACTCAAGTGTTACTATTTGAAAAAAAACAAAACATTTTATTTGAAAATAATACCGTTTATACTGCAGCGAATATGCTAACTTGTTAGCATAGCTTCAATTTAGCCGCCGCCCGGTTGGCAAAGTTCTCGCGATACGTTAGTTTTGGGGCGCATTGTACACCTATTACGTTAGGCTAGCGTTCATTTAACAACACAAGGAACATGCATGGTGACAACACAAGTCATGCAGAAACAAGAACAGTGAGTTAACTACTAATTGTAGTAGTCAGACTTGTCTCTCCCTCTCACCCGGCATCTTTACTCTTCTTGCAGTTCAGATAACTCATCTGTCTCTGGATCCTTAAAATCAAGAGTCTGACAAACATTCTAACACATTTGTCTGATCATCTGTGCACAGTACCTACTCATTTCTCACAGTTAATTAAAGTTTGGGTCTATTTCTAGGAGACACTGGTGAACTTAGAAAGACAAATATATGCATTTGAAGGCAGCTATCTAGAAGACACTCAGATGTATGGCAACATCATCAGAGGATGGGACCGATACCTCACCAACCAAAAGTAAGTATATCAGATGCATTACTGTCGCACTGTCTGCATAAGTCTTTATGAAGTGTATATGTAGAAGAAATTAGTAAATTTTACAGCAATCACAGTAGCCTCAATATACACAAGTGTTTGTGTAATCGCTTTTCATTACTTAACTGGATTCCACATACATTTTCTCTTCAGCTGTGTTATAAAATGATCACTGTCTAAATGTCACAGAATTAATGAGCAGGTGGGTGGTGGGAATGTAGTGCTATCCCACTGCTTCAAGGCCCTATTCATGACATTTTTATGTGGAGAATAATTAATATATATATCAATTGGACATTGTAATTATTACGTGTGTGTGTGGATTCCAGTGGTGGCTGCCTCAGATTGTTTCAGACTTGTGTGATCTGAACATTTCCAATAACTCCAGGGTGTTGTGATGTCCAAAATTAAAAATATATTGGAAAAATATTTCCAAAATTCACAACAAGTTTTTTTTCTAATGAAATATTCTATTTTAGCATTTAGCCTTTCAAAAACAACAACATCACTGCGGTCAAACAACTGTCCTCCCGCTTGCTGCTGTGCACAAAGGGAGACTCACACTGACGAGTTATAGAGCAGCTACACGTTCATAAACAAGATTCATATGCAGAGGGATGTGTGCAAATTGGGTTTTAGCCACATTCAAATTGTGTATCGCAATCTAATTCATATCATAATGTATCCTTTTGTTTTTAGTTGAGTCGGTGTGTTGTTGTTTTTTGCCAGATTGGCTTGTGGAAAAACTAGATCAAACAAGCGAGGAAATCTGTGCGTGTGCGTGTGCGTGCGCGCACAGCTGAGTTCCTTTCAGAGTTATTGAAGGAGCAGGCAAGAAAAAGCAGGCAAATGAGTTTTGAAAACGTTTCCATTCAGAATCGATGAATCCTCTGATCGGCCTTCATAGAGACCACCGATCAAACCATTCAGAATGAATATTAGCATATTGATCTGAGCACCCTTAATCAAAAGCACCTTTAACCAGGTTTCTGATCTTCTAACAGGAACTCCAATAGTAAGACTGATAGAAGGAATAGGAAATTCAAGGAAGCCGAGCGTTTATTCAGCAAGTCATCCGTCACATCAGTTGCAGTAAGTTCCTCTCACTGGACTTTTTCACACAATACTTTAGCTACTCATTTGTGGCATGACAAAAAAATAACTACTAATGCACTGCTCTCTCTGTTTTGATTTTTCAGGCAGTTTGTGCACTTGGTGGGATACCCGATCACATGAATGAAAAACGTGAGTTAAAAAACAATATATATATATTATTTTCTCAAGCCAAGCAGCCAGTTCCTCCGTCATAGTCTTTCTGACACTGAATTTGTGCTGTCGTTTGCGTCCCGTTAGGCGAGGCGGGCAGCGGCACAGAAAGCGACGCCTCTCCAGATCTTCAGAACCAAGAGAACGAGCCAAGCCAGGAGGACACAGAGGATGTGGACTCAACGCTGCAGGACCTAAAGCCTCAGAAAGCTGCCTCCTCTTCCTCCTCAGGCAGCCATCACGGGAGCCACAAGAAGAGGAAGAACAAAAACAGACACAGGTACACAATGAAGATCCAAGAAGCCGTTTGATCTCTGTGTTTTTTGCCTTCTGATTGTGCTGTTAATTGACACCCAATTTCAGAATTTCTTGACTAAGAATCTGAGTCTTTTAATAACCGATCAGTATGTTTACATGCACACAAGAAACCAGGTTACTGGGAGAAAGTGGTTTATGTAAATCCATCTTTACAATACAATACGTTAGGAGTTTATCGATAACACTACTATTAAGAAAATAAATGTTTGTAGAGCGTTAACAGTGATTTTTACACCACCAAAGTCACGGTATACACTCATAATATCTCACAACAAATATAAAATTGCAGTTAAATCAATCGTCTTCCCAAGTGAAGTTTCTGAAGAAGGAAGAATGCTGGTACCCGTCGGTGTCTCTCTTTTTGCCGGTTCCCCCTCTGCTGATGTGATTCACTGGTAGAAAGAGGAGAGCTGCTTTGTCTCAGCCAGCAGACACATTTACAAGAACAAAAAAAAGCTAAACAGTTTGACAGAATATAGATGGCTCTTGTTTTAGTTCGTCTGTAGCAGTTCGCTATTAGCTGAGCGAGCACTCTGTGCTTGTGTAAACATAGCGGCGATGGATGAGAGACTGCTGACAGAGCAGATCGATATATATCGCTTTTCCACGCGTTCATGCTGGTTGAACAGGTGTTTTGATAAAGTATTTGTCTTTTTACTCGCAAAGATTTCATTGAGCTTACAGGAACGCGCGTTGTCGTCGTAGTTACCTTCACTTAACCCCGTTCACTTCACCGCCTTTACCGTGGCCTTTCTGCTCCGCTCCTTGTTAGCTTGTGTTTTTGTTTAGTTGAAACAAGTCACACCAAAATGTTCAAAAAGAACTGATAATGTCGTAGCATCAATACTGTGGTCTATAATAATTTAGTGTGATACTGGGTTTCGGTACCCATCCCTAAGCAGGCCGGGTAAGATTTCCTCCCTACCGGATCTTATTGTGTTCTTCACAAGACATTCAAATTCTAAAGCAACATTTGAATTCTGCACAGCTTTGTCTATCCATTGTGTACGAGTCGGGCTACACTAATATTATCATGATTAAACTGTGTCAAATTCGATAGTTTTGGCTGCTTAGGATTGTGTACGACTCGTGTGATCCAAACATTTCCAACAACTCCAGAGCTTTGTAAATTCCCAAATTTGTTATTGAAAAACATTTCCTAAATTCTTATGTTCTTATCTAATGAAATTTCCTGCTTCAATCCATAGTTGGCTTAAGACCGTAGTATAATCATTTGTTGTGTGCAGTTCTAAGAGTGATTTTTCCTTAAATGGTAACAAAAATATTATATCATTTTGTGTAAGAGAAATATACCGTAGTGGCTGGAATATAAGCTGACACTTATAAGGTAAAGTTTCCCGGTGACACTGTTAGTCCATGGATGAGTAAATAGTAAAGGCAATATCTGCTGTTGTGAATATTTAAATCTAAGGTCCTCAAATGTAATATTTGTTCAAATGTAATTTGAAGGGAAAACAATATTATTTTCAGGACACTGTGGTATTTTCTTCTATGTCCTACCTTGTGATCTTGGGAAACTTTCCTATTTTGGGGGATCCAACTCTTAATAACTCCAACTTAAGAGCATGTAAACGCACTGATTGTTATTGGTAAGTCTAGTTTTATTGATTTAAGAGTCAGTGTTGTCAGTTGAATAAACTGTTCAGTGATAGGTCTGTTAAGCAGAATTGTTGTTTGAATGATTACGGTGGCTGTGTGTCACCAGCCTACTTACTAGTGGTGCAACAGATCATAAAACTCACGGTTTGGATCAGCACTAAAGAAAAAAGGGAGCAAATATAACTTTTAGGGATCCTTGATCACGATTTTATTTACAAGGCTCCAGACTATTGTTTTTTTGTCACGTCCCAAAAATCATTTAAACTCCTCCAAATTCAGTGTAAAAGATTGTAATTTTATTGATCAAAACAAATCTTGCCATTAGTAGTTCTAATAATAATAAACGTCTCCTTCAAACCACTGGTTTTATTCAAGTTTCTCATCAAAACTACATTACGAGATCACATGTGAACACATCATGATAACGTTATAATTTACCTTCACCCAATACTCATTTTCACCAAACAGAGCCTGAACGCATCATAATGTAACTGAATGGAGCCTTTGTTCGTTAGCAATTAGAGGTGCTGCCACCGTTACCGTAGTGTATATATGAGACCGTTACCAGCTCTCCTCCTGTCACTTTAAATACGGTTGTTTGTAATGTAACATTATCAGCGATCAGCGAATAGAGAAGCTTAAATGCTGATGTCCTGAAAGCTTATTTTACTGAATATTGGCGGATAACGATCATC